AGACCTCTCAGGCAAGGGAGGCCCCAATCGTGGATTCTTTAATTTAATCAGTGATAGAATATATTAATAGAATATATTAAAATAGAATATAGTAGTAAAGGATAGAATATATTAATAGAATAATTAATAGAATATAGTAATAGAATATATTAAAATTTTTCTAATTCTTTTTTTTATACGTAGGATAGTATTTTAAATAGCATCTGCTTGGTAGTATGAATAAGGAAAATGCTTACGAAATTCAATTTTATTAAAAATTTGACGTCGTATTCACATACTTAACAAAAAAGTGTCTAAACTAACTGAAAATTATCTACTTCTTTCAGACTGAGCGTAAATTTAAATTTTTTGGGTTGAAAGCGTAAACTCTATATTTTTTAAAGCATAGGGGAGAGTGGGGTCAATTGTAACAGGGTACGATTGTAACAGAGCAAATATTTCGAGTGTCGAGTTCTAGATTCGGTTCCTACGTGGCGCACAAGGTGTATTTAATAAATCTACATGTACACACCTGCTGGCAACCATTTTTATGTACTTTTGAAAGAGTTATACCACAAAAGATATTTTCACGCTACGTAAGTGCTTTTTTTGGTGTTAGAATATTATATTGTAACATAGTAATTTTGTTTAAACAAATAAAAATTATTAACCGAATATGTAAGTGGACACCTTAATTAACATTTTAAGAAAAAAAAGACTAGTTTTGTTAATTAAAAAGCATTGTTTTTAACAAATGAAGCTGAAATGGCGACTTGGGGACGATTGTAACAATAAGTAAAGGGACGACTGTAACATCTGAAAATAAATAATCTTATGTTTACAAACCATTACTTAACTCTTTAAGAACCACCAATAGTTTCCTATATCATTTATATTATGTTGCATGTGCATTATTTTATTTGTCACCTTTCACAGCATAAATTAAAATTTTTAACCCCTTAAAGTTAAAAGTTTAACCCTTTAGGTCTCTGCTCATTATTATTTTTACTCCTAAAATATCACTACTATTTTGATCAATAAAAAAATATATCACAACTATGATAATATGTATAATTAACTATGTTTTAGTTGAATTTATGAACTGTTACAATTGACCCCGTAAGTGGGGACAATTGTAACAAGTGCGCGACTGTCAAAAATTGTTAATCACTAATATAATAACATTTAAAATAAGGTATTTATTTTTTTTTCTAGTAGAGGATAGTCTTCTTTACTCGTCTGTCAATTAATACTAATAATATATTGGATTTTTTGTTAGTTAAAAATAGTTAAGCAAAAAATGTTACAATTGACCCCACTCTCCCCTATATATAATACGAATTTAACTCCCAAATTCAATAATGTAAAGTTCCGAAGTTGAAGAAACAATAGAAAAAATTCTGTTTTAAATGCAATGTAATATTTAGGTAACTTGAAGTATACATTTAAGCTTTTATCTATTCCGGAATCTTCTTAACTTGTTAAGTTAGTTTGACTTGTATACCCGTCATGTAAAACAAAATAGTGAGATTGACTTTTAAAACTTGAAGTTTAAATAAAAAAGAATGACAATATTATTTGGTATACGAGAGTTGATTAACGCAAATAGTTGCGTTGAAATCGCGTACACAATTAGCAAGGACAAATCAGCACGTCCTAGACATTCTTGAATTGAGTACAAAAAATCAAAAGCATTTTATGCAAAATCTCACGCTTTTTAAGCATCCAAAGTAAAACTGAATATCAGGGAAAAGGAGAAAAATTAATAACAAAACCATATCATTAATAACCGGCTTTTGTGAAAAGTCAAAGAAGTTTAATATAATTTAAATTATAAACTACTCTCGTCCCGCAGTGGACTGATCGTTAAGACACGGTTTCCAGCAGATCACCGAAGTCAAGCATCACTAGCTGCGGTCAGTGAGTGGGTGTGTGACCATGTTTTTCAATTTTAATTTATAACCGTCGTTGAACAGCCGACCCAATTTTAGGGTTTATGGTTACTAATGTTCAACTCCGTATCCTTGTAATTTTGAACAAATCCAGAAGACAAGGAAACTCCTGGATCAGTTCCCCCAGAGGCTTTGATTTGTTATGGGAACATGGAGGATTTTGCGACTCGATAGATTTAACGTGCATCAGTCACCATTTACTACACGGGGAGTCTTCGGCCGGCGGGGATCGAACCCACAAACTCTTGGACATGGTTCCAGTGCCCTACCAACCAGCCTATCCCGGCCTGGATGATCATTTGGAGCAGTCTGCGACGTGTCCAAGAGTGTGCGGTATCCGTTATTGGTCCTCTCTAAACTGTTATACCGTAAAGTGCTCGACTTCGCGCGCAGGTCGTCGTGCTACTGAAGCGGTACTGCCATCCCCTCTGCAGAGGATCAAAATTGTGTTGGCAGGTCTATGGATCATCCTCAGGGATGTTTCCCAGATAGTCGCCAATAGCCCATTGTGCAGCTCTAGTGCGACGTAAATGAACTGCAACTATAAACTACTCTCAACTATTTACTTTGCCTTGGGTAAAAAAATAGCCCCATACTTACGTTATAACTGTTAAAATATCTTATTAAGTTTTCGCAAAATTTATAATACGATAGTTTGTGCTGCATTCGACGTGCATACACGCCATAGCTAAATTTTAATTCAGCACCCTGTGGATAGGGCTGAGCGGTATCGTCCGTCAAACGCTGTGTGTAGCATGGACGTAGCGGGTTTGAATCCCGCTGTTACCCTGGGTGTATCTTCGTGCTATCCTTTTCAGTATTAGGCTATCTGTCCTTCTTCATGGCAAAAGTTTATAAGGTTTAATTGAACACACAAGCCTGCAAATGTATGTTGTATAAATAAATAAATAACACCCTGGGAGGATTTCTAAAATTAAATTCCACGCTTAACTGGTTAATAACATAAAGTTTGAGTTGAAAATTTAAAATGTGTGCATTTCATAATGAAATTTGTTAATCAGAGCAGGCGATATTTGAAGTTCTACCAAATCAAACCCAAAGTCGCACTTTTACTAAACATGCACTTTTTTCGATGTATTCGGATTTCATCGGATTCACGATATATGGGTCACCACCATTTTGGAAATATTGCCCCAATAGTTTATACATGGTACATATGTATACCCTCTAACATTTGAGCTCTATGCAAAATATGATAGATTCGAACAAATTCTTAAGGTAGATGATCAATTCACAGAAGATGTTAAAATAACAACTCTAAGGGGGGATAAGCCTAAAGTAAGTGATTTGACCAAATCCCTTAACTGTTTCAGTGAAAAGAAGAAATAATAATATTTAGATAATACGGACAATGTAATTAATCTGTTATTATTAATAATCGAGGTTTTTTTAATAGTAACCAAGTAAGTCTGTGAAAGAGAATAGCACAAGGAACAATTTTCCCTCCCTAAGTATCCCCACTTATCTGGTACGTAGGGAGTGGTGGATAGAAGGTAATAATACAGGTAATAATACATTTTACCGAGATGAAGTAAAATTTCGCCAATTCGGATAATCTCACTTTGAGTAAATTCTTTTCAAATCAATCTAAGAAAGGATAAATAGTGATAAATAGTTTAATTTATTGTAGTAATATTTTATTTTATTATCTATTACCACAATTGAACAGCCGACCCAATTTTTGAGTTTACTACTACTTATGTTCAACTCCATAACCTGGTAATTGTGAACCTAACGCAGAAAACAAGGGAACTCCGTGATCAAGTATTGAGAGAAATTCGGTTTCATGGAGGACTAACCCGCATTTGCGTTAGATGGAGAGGAAAACCATGAAAACCTCCCACAGTTATCCTGACGACAAAGGCCCTCTAACACTTGATCCGTCTATCACCGATGATATTTAACTTCCGCACTGTGGTTGGTGCGAGCCGGGTGCGGAATTCGTATCAACGATCTATCTCTGGGATTTCAACCCGGGCCACGTTACTGGGTATTATAATAATAGCTTTTATTTCTCCTCACTAAAACTAGCTTTAATGAAATGGTTTTAATACCAGTTTTTCCCCCTTTTACGTTTTCAGCCCTTAAATTGGGCGATTTCTTGGATTTATAAATTTAATTTTAAATAATTTGGTCCACCACTACATATTAAAAAGTTCTATATATATATAAATGAATGTATGAGCATCATTGTATGTGTGTTTAAACCTTTCCAAACTAAAGAAATATATTTCTGCATATGACTAATTCAATTTTAATATTACTTCCTCTAGAAAAAATCATTGTCGAAAAGTAAAAGTTGACATGTATTGCATTATGCATTCAGGCTTGAAGCTACATTGTAAGATAATAACCTAGTTCCTCTAACAAGATTCAGACGTGATAGTGTTAGAGAAAGTTTAATCATTTCTGCTCTCTAAAACTTCTTCTGAACTAAAACTTGTTCCTAAACGTACCCAAGGCTTTATTAAGCCAACTGTACCTAAACATACCCAAGGCTTTATTAAGCCAACTGTACCTAAACTTACCCAAATATATTACATTTGTAGTAAAAGTATTCTGCTATTGACGTTTTCCTGAAAGAAAAAAAAAGATTTCGACATCTAACAGAATGAAATTATTTAAATTTGAAAAGAAGATTTTTAGTTTTTATAGACTTAATGTTACTTTTTTAGATTAAATTCAAAAAATAGCCGTCGATCAATAAAATCGTCAAAAATAAAAAAAACACTTTTCAAAAATTAATTACATAAACAGGATGTTTTATTAAAAATTAATTAGATAAGTAGAGGTTAAAGTGTGGAGCAAATTTTCAACCTTATATTTTGTTTGGGAGTCAATTGCTATTATTCATAACAAATGTTGGAATAATATGGGTTGAAAAAAGATTTCGTTGATCTGCATCACTTCGTGACAAATTATTAAAATTTAATAATTTTTAAATAAAATTGATTGAATATTGACGCATATTTGTAAAAAGCAACCATTACCATAAAAATTGTTATTTAAAGCAATTTTTATTGATAGGTTAAAAAAATTAGAAATTACCTTTTTCTGTTTTTCTATACACGATTTCTCCTTATTGTTTCTATAATTCCTTGTATTCGATGTAAATTGCTTAAAACTCTCGGCCATGTTATAAATACTTGTTGTCAAATAGTGCATTTTATTATCTGATTTTATTTTAAATAATTAAAAAAGACTGCTAACAATTCGAATATAAGAAAATCCTAGAGCACAACTCAGTCTGTGTAATCCAAGAGGAGTCTCGCTCACTTATGAGAAGTTTGTTTTTCTGCCGAGCACGTGGTGAGCTTATCAATACAATAGCGAATACTGCGCCATCTAGCCAATCGAAAAGTAAATTTTAATAATTAAATGTAAAAGTCCAACATTTCCTAACTTTAAACATGAATCAAATATTTTTTAATGAAATGAAACGTTCTTAAAAGTAAAAACTACGTTTATTTGCTGTTATTATGAAATTTATACCTGTTAAAGTAATTTTACTTTAATCTGCATTGAATTTGATAGAAAATAATTTTTTCATCCTGTTTCCAAAAGTCAATTTTTTTAATGTTATTAATGATAATATTATTAATGATGTTTTAAATATCAATTTACGATGTTATAAATATTAATATATCTCATTCTAAGAATGCTGAAAGTAAAAAATACCTTTATTAGCTTTATTCTGAAATTAATTAATGTTAACGTAATTATATTAACATTGAATTTGATTGAAAATAATTTCTTCATCCTGTTTCTAAAAGTCACATTTTTTTTATGTTATTATGTACAGTAATGTTAATCGACGTGAAATTAACTCTAAAAATACTAAAAGTAAAAACTATTTTTATTTGCTGTTATTGTGAAATTATTACTGTTTGTGAAATAATTACTTTATGTGAAATTATTACTTTTTGTGAAATTATTACTTGTTACAGCATTTGAAAACTACGGTAAACGTCATCACAATTTGATTCCTCATTCATAAATATTCGATAATTAATTTTGCGGATTTAAAAATTTTCATCTTTTTTTTTCCCTTCTACTAATTTCTTATAACGCATGATAAACGAATATTGATTTTTTTATTTTAGTTTTATGTGCATTGTTAACACGATTTCTTAGTACGTTCTTGAGGAAAAGCTTTTTTCTTATGATTTAAAACTTTATTACGAACTATTTTTTTGCTTATTTCACTATTAGTACTTTCCAAAACTAAAAGCTACTGTCTCATTTTGCTACCTTCTTATTACTTTTATAGTCCATTTGGTTATGATACGGATAGTAATTGTAGTTTAAGTTCTCTGGTAACTGTTGTACACGTATCTGAAAAACCTATAAAAAGTGTAGCTTGTGAGTATTGATTTATATTTGACAATTATTTAGAAAATATGTTATATTTTAATTAAGTACAGTATGACCTCTATTTAACGAAGTCGCTAAATCCCTATAATGAGTTCGTTATATGGAAAATTCGTTAGATAAAAAAATCACCTTATGAAATACTTAAATAACATAAAACAGGTTTTTAAATTCATAGACACTAGACATAAATTAAAATAGCAATTGATACAAATTCGTCTAGTGGACTATCTACTATTTATTAATTAAATCTTAACTATAAAAGAAATCTGCATGGAAAGCAAGAATAGAGCAAAACATTATACAGTGTTACACTATCATGCTACGCATATTTTCAAGCATAAAAAGCTTAATTTATGTATAAAATTATGGCTACATTTATTATAAAAGTAATTTTAAACATACATTACCTCATGCGTTATTAAGTTTAATTGCTACTGATAAAATCCGTTAATTTTGTTTGAGTTTTTCGTTTAAAATGAAAACAAAAAGGGAAAGGATTTTTACTGCCTTCTCTAAATTCGATTTAAGGTCGAAAATCAATTTAAGGTCATTTCTTCCATAAAATGCGTTTACAAACTTGAAATGTTCTGAAATATTTGGGGAAATAAGGAAAGTGGACCTCAAAGGAAAGTTCGTTAAATAGAAAATTCACTTCGCTATTTGGAAGTTATTTTGCGAAGGAATTTCCAAAATGTTCTTGGTTCCTCGAAAAAAATTACAAAATAGAGAAATTCGCAAAATGGAAGTTCGTTAAATAGAAGTTTAACTGTATATTGAACATGAGTTATTTTCAATTTTAAAAAATCGCCAAATTTAATCATAGAAAGAATATGACAAACCTATTAAAACAGTATGTTAACAATCTGTCAAAGTCTGTATAGTCAAATTTATAACAATCATTCCGATTAGTTGACAATAAGCATATAATTAACTTTTTTTAAAATTTTACTACCGTTGATATTGCTATATTTAGTTTTATAGAAACACGGTAAGAATTGACAAAAAAGAGAACTGCTTGGAGAAACGTTCTGGAGATAGCTAAAACAAACTCCGTACTGTTGTACCGATGATAAGGATGATAAGTAGCATTAAAATGAAAAATTGTATTTCATCATGTTTATAACTGACAGACTGATTTTTTTTTATTCCTAATGTTAAAACTAGTACTAAACAATTTTCAATTTTGTTTTTATAAGCTTAAAGCTAGCATATCTACGCTACAGAAACAAGCAGTTTTTTGAGATTCTATGAATCATTTTACTTAATCTAACTCTGTAATAAGTATGATGCCCAATTTCCCATTTACTTTCGTTCATTTTTAAATGCAAAACCATTCTAATTTATTTCTAAGGCACATTTTACGATTCGACAACTTCTTGTGAGACAAAAGTTTTCGAACTATGAAAGAACCACTTAACTAATTTAAAACATTATATTAATTCACAGAGCGATTCAATATCAGTGAGACGAAAATGAGGGACTGTAATGATACACTGGAGGTCTTAGTTCTCTGAATAGAATAAAAAATGTCATATTAAAATATTATCAAATTTTCCATTTAATTTGCCGGAAGGGAAAAAAACGACCAGTTTTTCGAGACTTAAATTTGATATATTTTTATTCAAAATCTGGCGAAAATGTTTTCTTTAAAATAATTACCCTCATTTTTAATGAAAATACAATACCTTACTTAAATTTTAAATGTCGTCACCCGAGCGCATACTTTTCGCCAGAACATATGGGATACAGTCAACTTATACAATATTAGTAATTTTCGCTCGACCAAAAATAAAAGAACATAGTAAAATATCGTTCCATTAAAATAGAAAGCAACCATTACTAATGCATTTATATCAAGAGTCCTATTATCACCCCTTACTTTCGTTCTCTCTAGGGGAACAAGGCACCAATCATTTTACCAGACCAAATTATTAACGAACTGAAATTATTCTCGAATAATATCATTATTCGAACAAAAGAACTATTTTGAAAACTCTTCTCCAACCTCCTGACGATTTACTAGCCAAAGCGGAACAATTTGAAGCTTCCAAAGCAATGGTTTTCCAATTCACCTTAATCATTTGTTGCACGTACATAATTATATCGACGTTTTGACAAACGATACCTCGTTCAAAGTTCCATCTAGAGTTGAGGTGTTAAATGGTTAGAAATTCTATTCGAAAGCCATCATTTAACAGAAGAATTATGCCGGCTTCAATATTGAGTGTCTCTCAAAACTCATGATGTGCTGTTACAGATGGCATTAATATTATTGAGAGAACGATATGTGAGTGGTGCAAGTGAAGACGCAAACGACATGAAAACGAGCGAGCTGTTTCTGCAGCAAACGATTTTCTGAATGATGGATGAATTGGTCCAGAAATAGTAATGGGGATACTTTAAAAAGTTATAACTAATTACGAATCGATTTTTCATATTGTCACAGAACATTTTAACGAAATGATTATTCGTTGCTTAAAGTCTATTTTCTCAGACACGAATGTTTCATTTTTAATTGATATTTTGGAAATTATATTATTTATTTTAGTGAATAATTGAATTATATTTTGAAAGAATTAAGTTGCACCTTCGAGCTGTCAATGTGTCTCAACACCTGTTTATTATATATATATA